CTGAGTGGTGGGAGACACGGTGGGTTAGTGGGAGACACGGTGGGTTAGTGGGAGACACGGTGGGTTAGTGGGAGACACGGTGGGTTAGTGGGAGACACGTGGGTTAGTGGGAGACACGGTGGGTTATGGGAGACACTGTGGGTTAGTGGAGACACGGTGGGTTAGTGGGAGACACGGTGGGTTAGTGGGAGACACGTTGGGTTAGTGGGGAGACACGGTGGGTTAGTGGGAGACACGGTGGGTTAGTGGAGACACGGTGGGTTAGTGGGAGACACGGTGGGTTAGTGGGAGACACGGTGGGTTAGTGGGAGACCGGTGGGTTAGTGGGAGACACGGTGGGTTAGTGGGAGACACGGTGGGTTAAGTGGGAGACACGGTGGGTTAGTGGAGACACGGTGGGTTAGTGGGAGACACGGTGGGTTAGTGGAGACACGGTGGGTTAGTGGGAGACACGGTGGGGTTAGTGGGAGACACGGTGGGTTAGTGGGAGACACGGTGGGTTAGTGGGAAGACACGGTGGGTTAGTGGGAGACACGGTGGGTTAGTGGGAGACACGGTGGGTTAGTGGGAGACACGGTGGGGTTAGTGGGAGACACGGTGGGTTAGTGGGAGACACGGTGGGTTAGTGGGAGACACGGTGGGTTAGTGGGAGACACGGTGGGTTAGTGGGAGACACGGTGGGTTAGTGGGAGACACGGTGGGTTAGTGGGAGACACGGTGGGTTAGTGGGAGACACGGTGGGTTAGTGGGAGACACGGTGGGTTAGTGGGAGACACCGGTGGGTTAGTGGGAGACACGGTGGGTTAGTGGGAGACACGGTGGGTTAGTGGGAGACACGGTGGGTTAGTGGGAGACACGGTGGGTTAGTGGGAGACACGGTGGGTTAGTGGGAGACACGGTGGGATAGTGGGAGACACGGTGGGTTAGTGGGAGACACGGTGGGTTAGTGGGAGACACGGTGGGTAGTGGGAGACACGGTGGGTTAGTGGGAGACACGGTGGGTTAGTGGGAGACACGGTGGGTTAGTGGGAGACACGGTGGGTTAGTGGGAGACACGGTGGGTTAGTGGGAGACACGGTGGGTTAGTGGGAGACACGGTGGGTTAGTGGGAGACACGGTGGGTTAGTGGGAGACACGGTGGGTTAGTGGGAGACACGGTGGGTTAGTGGGAGACACGGTGGGTTAGTGGAGACACGGTGGGATAGGGAGACACGGTGGGATAGTGGGAGACACGGTGGGTTAGTGGGAGACACGGTGGGTTATGGGAGACACGGTGGGTTAGTGGGAGACACGGTGGGTAGTGGGAGACACGGTGGGGATTAGTGGGAGACACGGTGGGTTAGTGGGAGGACACGGTGGGTTAGTGGGAGACACGGTGGGTTAGTGGGAGACACCGGTGGGTTAGTGGGAGACACGGTGGGTTAGTGGGAGACACGGTGGGTTAGTGGGAGACACGGTGGGTTAGTGGGAGACACGGTGGGTTAGTGGGAGACACGGTGGGTAGTGGGAGACACGGTGGGTTAGTGGGAGACACGGTGGGTTAGTGGGAGACCGGGTTATGAACGGTGGGTTAGTGGGAGACACGGTGGGTTAGTGGGAGACACGGTGGTTAGTGGGAGACCGGTGGTTAGGGGAGACACGGTGGGTTAGTGGGAGACACGGTGGGTTAGTGGGAGACACGGTGGGTAGTGGGAGACACGGTGGGTTAGTGGGAGACACGGTGGGTTAGTGGGAGACACGGTGGGTTAGTGGAGACACGGTGGGTTAGTGGGAGACACGGTGGGTTAGTGGGAGACAACGGTGGGTAGTGGGAGACACGGTGGGTTAGTGGGAGACACGGTGGGTTAGTGGGGAGACACGGTGGGATAGTGGGGAGACACGGTGGGTTAGTGGGAGACACGGTGGGTTAGTGGGAGACACGGTGGGTTAGTGGAGACACGGTGGGTTAGTGGGAGACACGGTGGGTTAGTGGGAGACACGGTGGGATTAAGTGGGAGACACGGTGGGTTAGTGGGAGACACGGTGGTTAGTGGGAGACAGGCGGTTGGGTTGTGGGAGACACGGTGGGTTAGTGGGAGACACGGTGGGTTAGTGGGAGACACGGTGGGTTAGTGGGACACGGTGGGTAGTGGGAGACACGGTGGGTTAGTGGGAGACACGGTGGGTTAGTGGGAGACACGGTGGGTTAGTGGGAGACACGGACTGTGGTTAGTGGGAGACACGGGTGGGTTAGTGGGAGACACGGTGGGATAGTGGGAGACACGGTGGGTTAGTGGGAGACACGGTGGGTTAGTGGGAGACACGGTGGGTTAGTGGGAGACACGGTGGGTTAGTGGGAGACACGGTGGGTTAGTGGGAGGACACGGTGGGATAGTGGGAGACACGGTGGGTTAGTGGGAGACACGGTGGGTTAGTGGGAGACACGGTGGGTTAGTGGGAGACACGGTGGGATAGTGGGAGACACGGTGGGTTAGTGGGAGACACGGTGGGTTAGTGGGAGACACGGTGGGTTAGTGGGAGACACGGTGGGTTAGTGGGAGACACGGTGGGTTTAGTGGAGACACGGTGGGATAGTGGGAGACACGGTGGGTTAGTGGGAGACACGGTGGGTTAGTGGGAGACACGGTGGGTTAGTGGGAGACACGGTGGGTTAGTGGGATACACGGTGGGTTAGTGGGAGACACGGTGGGTTAGTGGGAGACACAGTGGGAGACACGGTGGGTTAGTGGGAGACACGGTGGGTTAGTGGGAGACACAGTGGGAGACACGGTGGGTTAGTGGGAGACACGGTGGGTTAGTGGGAGACACAGTGGGTTAGTGGGAGACACGGTGGGTTAGTGGGAGACACGGTGGGTTAGTGGGAGACACAGTGGGAGACACGGTGGGTTAGTGGGAGACACGGTGGAGTTAGTGGGAGACACGGTGGGATAGTGGGAGACACGGTGGGTTAGTGGGAGACACGGTGGGTTAGTGGGAGACACGTTGGGTTAGTGGAAGACACGGTGGGTAGTGGGAGACACGGTGGGTTAGTGGGAGACACGGTGGGTTAGTGGGAGACACGGTGGGTTAGTGGGAGACACGATGGAGACACGGTGGGTTAGTGGGAGACACGGTGGGTTAGTGGGAGACACGGTGGGTTAGTGGGAGACACGGTGGGTTAGTGGGAGACACGGTGGGTTAGTGGAGACACGGTGGGTTAGTGGGAGACACGGTGGGTTAGTGGGAGACACGGTGGGTTAGTGGGAGACACAGTGGTTAGTGGGAGACACGGTGGGTTAGTGGGAGACACGGTGGGTTAGTGGGAGACACGGTGGGATAGTGGGAGACACGGTGGGTTAGTGGGAGACACGGTTGGGTTAGTGGGAGACACGGTGGGTTAGTGGGAGACACGGTGGGTTAGTGGGAGACACGGTGGGTTAGTGGGAGACACAGTGGGAGACACGGTGGGTTAGTGGGAGACACGGTGGAGACACGATGGAGACACGGTGGGGATAGTGGGAGACACGGTGGGTTAGTGGGAGACACGGTGGGTTAGTGGGAGACACGGTTGGGTTAGTGGGAGACACGGTGGGATTAGTGGGAGACACGGTGGGTTAGTGGGAGACACAGGTGGGTTAGTGGGAGACACGGTGGGTTAGTGGGAGACACAGGTGGGTTAGTGAGGACACGGTGGGTAGTGGGAGACACGGTGGGTTAGTGGGAGACACGGTGGGTTAGTGGGAGACACGGGTGGGTTAGTGGGAGACACGGTGGGTTAGTGGGAGACACGGTGGGTTAGTGGGAGACACGGTGGGTTAGTGGGAGACACGGTGGGTTAGTGGGAGACACGGTGGGTTAGTGGGAGACACGGTGGGTTAGTGGGAGACACGGTGGGTTAGTGGGAGACACAGGTGGGTTAGTGGGAGACACGGTGGGTTAGTGGGAGACACGGTGGGTTAGTGGGAGACACGGTGGGTTAGTGGGAGACACGGTGGGTTAGTGGGAGACACGGTGGGTTAGTGGGGAGACACGGTGGGTAGTGGGAGACACGGTGGGTTAGTGGGAGACACGGTGGGTTAGTGGGAGACACGGTGGGTTAGTGGGGAGACACGGTGGGTTAGTGGGAGACACGGTGGGTTAGTGGGAGACACGGTGGGTTAGTGGGAGACACGGTGGGTTAGTGGGAGACACGGTGGGTTAGTGGGAGACACGGTGGGTTAGTGGGAGACACGGTGGGTTAGTGGGAGACACGGTGGGTTAGTGGGAGACACGGTGGGTTAGTGGGAGACACGTGGGTTAGTGGGAGACACGGTGGGTTAGTGGGAGACACGGTGGGTTAGTGGGAGACACGGTGGGTTAGTGGGAGACACGGTGGGTTAGTGGGAGACACGGTGGGTTAGTGGGAGACACAGTGGTTGGGAGACACGGTGGGTTAGTGGGAGACACGGTGGAGACACGATGGAGACACGGTTGGATAGTGGGAGACACGGTGGGTTAGTGGGAGACACGGTGGGTTAGTGGGAGACACAGTGGGAGACACGGTGGGTTAGTGGGAGACACGGTGGTTAGTGGGAGACACGGTGGGTTAGTGGGAGACACGGTGGGTTAGTGGGAGACACGGTGGGGTTAGTGGAGACACGGTGGGTTAGTGGGAGACACGGTGGTTAGTGGGAGACACGGTGGGTTAGTGGGAGACACGGTGGGTTAGTGGGAGACACAGTGGGAGACACGGTGGGTTAGTGGGAGACACGGTGGAGACACGATGGAGACACGGTGGGATAGTGGGAGACACGGTGGGTTAGTGGGAGACACGGTGGGTTAGTGGGAGACACGGTGGGTTAGTGGGAGACACGGTGGGATAGTGGGAGACACGGTGGGTTAGTGGGAGACACAGTGGGTTAGTGGGAGACACGGTGGGTTAGTGGGAGACACAGTGGGAGACACGGTGGGTTAGTGGGGAGACACGGTGGGTTAGTGGGAGACACGGTGGGTTAGTGGGAGACACGGTGGGTTAGTGGGAG